ATAGAGATGGTGGGAAAGGAAGAAGTAGAGCACGATGGGACCTTCCTGAAATAGGGCTCTAGGAGAAGCCATCACTTAAATAATTATACTGATATTACTGTGTTATTTTTCATTACAAATGTATTTAGATAAAATGTATGTTGTCATATTTGATATGATTATTACCCTTATTGGATCTACATATCAGAGCTATGACTACACTTAGATCTCTTGATCCCCATCTTATCACTGCTTCTTTTACTGTGAAGAGAGCAGAGGTATAGGTTATCCAAAAGAATGGATTATTGATATTTGCCTTTGAAATTCAGATAGACATATTAAATCAGAAACAGATACATATATGTATACATACATTTGTATGTGTATAAATACACACATTCATAGATTTCTAAGGCAATAAAGGACTTTAGAAAATCAAGTCTAGTCCCTTCATTTTCTAAATGAAGGAACTGAAGGTTAGGAGACATTGACTTGTCCAGTCACACAGGTAAGAAGTGTCAGGAACAAGATTCAAATCCAGGGCTTCTGATTCCAAATCTCCTGCTTTTTTTCCCCTTCCAATACCCTATGCTTCCTCTCACTAGACTCTAGACCTTAAAACCTCTTTCTTGTGCCATCTGTTTAGAAGTCCTGTGGAAAATACTGGCCCCATTTCAGAATAATATGTTTAAAGCCTAAAATAAAATACTTGGATTATAAAGGAAACTACTTACATTGAAATAAGCTATTAGAATGTCTTAAAAAAAATGTTCAGAGACCCTGGGTTAAAATCCCTTACTCTAGATCAAGCATGTTACAGATAAAGAAATCAGGACCCATTTCTAAAAGCCTTTACCACATACCATGTATGTTCCATTCAAAATGTAGCTGTGCAGCCCTACCCAAAATGATTTTACCTTTGGTGCACAAATTGAAGTCGGGCTTCAATTTCCTTACCTAGAAAATAGAAGGGGTGTAACTGATAACCTTTGAGGTCCTTTCTAGTTCCAAATCTCTGATACTATGATCCAATGAGCACACTGTATCACTGATAAGTCTCTGTTCTTCTCTTTTTTCTCTTTTGTTTAAAAGTGGTAAGCTGGATAAAGTTTAACTTTAAATTTAAAACCTATCATACTTCACTCCTGGTTATGTGACTGTCAGCAAGTCACTTTATTTCTCTGGGCCTAAGTTTTTTCATCAAGGTCCAACTGATGGTGCTGTTGGCTTTATTTGACATTAAGTGACATATAAAGATGAGGTACCTTCACTACACAGGGCTGCCACATCTGATTCACTGTAATGGGTCACTCATTGAAATGCTTAATGTAGTTTTTCAGGATCCTCAAGTCCAGACACAGAATTGGGGCTGATAGCAGCAGTAGGAGCTCTTACTGGTGTGCTACTCACGAGGCTAATCTCAGGCTTTGTTTTGTGCTTTTATTCTATCTTCATGTCACTCCAGGGATGCTCCCCCTTTTCTCTCATCTCCAAGTGTCTACATCCTTTTTAAACTCACTGTTCTTGCAAACTGACTTCCACACCCCCCCATCTGCTCTACTGTAATTGTTCTCTCAAAGGTCACTAATAACAATGATGATAACTCCTTAAGTGTGCAAAGCACTTTACAAATTTATCAAATTTGATCCTGATAACCTAATGGGGCTAGTGCTATTATGCCAAATTTTGCGAATGAGGAAACAGACCTAAAGATGTTCATTAAGTCACCACTCCAAGGTCACACAGCTGGTCAGTTTCTGAGACAGTATTTAAACTCATGTCTTCCTGACTCTAAGTTCATTAGACTGTCCACCATGTCACCTGGCTGTCAGTGACCTAATTGCCCAAACCCAAAGGCCTTTTCTCAGCCGTCATCCTCTACACAATGCGTAGCATCTGACACAGTGGACGATGTCTTTCTTCTCGGAAATCTCTCCTCCCTTTATTTTTAGTAACAATGGACTCCCTTGTTTTTCCTGCCTCTGTGACCACTCCTATTTCTCTTCCTTTCATTTCTTTTCTTCCCTCTGAAAATGAGAAAATTACTCAAGATCAGTAAGTGGGAATTATTTAGTTTCAAGGGAAAATCAAGCTCATTCCAGGTTTGTAAATTGTTCTTCCTCCCTCACTAGTCATTAACTTATTTGCTAATAATAAGATACTTTAAAATTCTCCAGATATCTTATCATGTATTTTTATATCATTTTTTAAAAGGAAGGGATAAATTCTATTGAAGTGTTTTTCCCCCTGGGGTAACAAATGGAGATATACCTAATTAGCACTTAGATGACATTGTTATTATTAATTAGGCTTGAAAATTGATAAATGGTAGCAATAATGAAGAATGAGTTATACTTGATTAAAATATGATATACCCTTTGCTTAGCCATAAAGTTAGAAAGACCACAAATAAGAAAGAAAAACACAATGGACATACCTCAAATTCTGAAAAAAAGAATTGAAAAGCAAAGAATAGGTATTTCTAGCGTGTAAAATTGTGAAATATTTCATATCAAGTATTAATACAATGAGTTTTAATATATGATAATATACATCTGTTGTGTTTACAGCATTAGAATAAAAGAGTGAGGGAATTGTTCCAATTGCTTTTTATACTAATGATTACAATTTTCTGCATGAAAGAGTTTATTCTCAAAATAAGTATTTTTCATATATTTGAGTTGTTTTGCAAGAACATATTATCAATTTTTAAATTATCATCTTCGGTCTTTCCCCAGAGCTCCAGGTCCATATCTGAATTGCCCTCTGGACCTTTCTACTTGCTTTGTCCTGCAAGCAATTAAAAAATATGTCTCAAATTTAATATCTCTCCAAAACCAGGCTTTCCCCTCTAGTATCTTTAAATGAGCTTACTATGGTCCCAGCAACCCACCTCAAAACCTTAATGTCATCTTTGTCTTTTGCTTCTCTCAGGCCCCGCTTCTAATCACTGACTTATAGATTCATAGTCTGTAAAAGCCTTTGGAGGACACTGGGCTCAGTTCCCTCATTTTAGACCTGAGAAAATTGGGGCTGAGAAGGGTTGAGTGATGTGTTTGGAGTAACATGTCTAATAAATGTCAGAGGTAACATTTGAACTCAGGTCCTTCTGACTCCAAGTCCAGCACTCTACCCAGCATGCCACATAGATCTCTAATTACTGGCCAATTTCTTTCAATTACACCTCTCCAATATTTCTCACATATATCTCTTCCTTCTCTCTTTTATTTTTTGAAAATATAGAAAAGTTATTCTGGATAGGACCACAGAGAGAAGGTGCTAGCTTTCCAGCTTCTTTATGAATATAATTAGTAAATATTTGTTGACCACCTTCCTGGTAAATGCAGTTACCTACTCATTCTTCTTCTGGAAATCATCTGGTCTCATTCACCACAAAGGAATCACACCATCAACTGGAAAAGTCCCACATCATCTAATGTATCTGTATATGCTAAAATAAGAGGTCTTTTTCTTTTTGGTCTCAGTAACAGGGAAATACAATATGGAAACCCAATTCTCAGGATGACTAGTCACACTAAAAAGATCAGCATGATTGTGGTTTCCATCTTCTAAGACTAGAAATTCACACACTCAAACACACAACTTCTACACCCACATGCATTTCAGAATAAACAGATTAGTGTTAGCCACCCAAGTTTAAACATTATGCGAGTTGCTTTAAGCAACCAAAAAAAAGGAAAAGAAAGGAAAAACAAGGAAAGGTTTCACTCCAAGAATTTCACTCCAAGAATTTCATCTAATGGTACCTGAGTCACTAAGTGCTTCACCATCAGAAAAGTGGCCGCCAGACTGTTTTAAGGCTATGCAACATACAAGTAAAAATAAAGATGGTGCCCAATTACAAAATAAAATCCTACATACCAATCTCCTTTTCATAATTCTTTTTCTCTTGCTGACAAATTAATAAATTGATTGCAAAGTAACATGTACATGATTCTGTAACAACATATCTTAACTGATTATTTGATGACTCAATTTCATCTGTTCTTGATAATACACAGTGTCAAGTTTGTCATTCCATGGCTAGGTGTTCTTGGCCAAAGCTTGATCCAATTAAATACTTACTAATTGCATCCAAACACAAAAAAATTTCAAAATGTAATATGAATTAAATAAGGTGTATGTTAGTCAACTCTCAAGTTTTTATTACCAGAATACCAGAAACCAAAGAAAATGTTGATGTCTCTTTATAAAAGTAACTGAAGGACAGACCCTGTGATTTCCTTTTTGGATGTAACATTTCAAATCTCTATATTGTCTTTACCTATACAAAGCTACGCTATTTTAAAATTAGAAATCAACTAACCATTTCTTTTATAAAAATTTCTACCTTCTTTAATTAGCCCAACTATTACTTGGATAAGATTTTCCAACAAATATTGGTTTTAATATTTTCTCCTCCTCAAGAGCACCTGATTTTGAAATTATTCCAACTATTACTAATTCATGATCAAGTTCAAGTTTGGACTCATGAATCAATGATTTTTGTTGGACAACTGCATATTTGCCTTTTGGCCTTAAATGTACTGTATATGTATATATCAACAAGAAGTAGAGATTTAAGATTATTCCTCTGATACAAATGGTATCTCTTCAATACTAAACATTTAAGTGTACCTCAGACTATAAGCAGATTTCAAGACAAAAAAAACGAAATCCTTATTAGATTTAATTTAATTAATATATTTAATATATCTTCCATTTGATCTCTATTTTTCTATTGCCCTCTGCTATCTTGGAATTAGAAAACAATAGTAAAAACAACTTAGGGTGAAAATGAATTGATCAGAATATTCTTACTTAGAACATTTTTTCTCTAGTAGAAATAAACATATTTTAAAAAAATAAAACCAACTTTTTCAAAGACTGGGATGGAACGGCATATTAAGGCTCTGCCAGTCTCAATCCCTATACCAGTTATTTCCAACAAAAATGTTTATTGTGTATCCATGCTATGTAAAGTAAACAGTATTTTAAAAGAAAGTTAATGAAATACTCACCTTCTTCATCAGAAACATCAAGGACCTCGGTCATTGTCTCAGGTACATTTAGCTTGTGTTTCTCAGTAACAGTCTGCAAAGACAATCATGAATACTCAAGTTTTGTTTTTGTAAAGGACCATCAAACCAACAAACATAGAGATCTATCTTTCATAGCCACAGTCCAAAGCCACTGAATCATTCCATCTTTTCTCCATTTGTATTTTGAAGCGTTGATTCTCTTCCCTAAAATATTTCTTGTTCAAAAAAGAATCATCTCTCCCAGTGAAACTTTAGAGAAAGAAAGCTGTCTTTCTCTGGGTTCCCATTTTTAAGAACACTCTTTAGCACAAATATTCATAGATAGATAGCACACTCTGAGAAATTCAACTAATGTTTTAGGACAGTTTAAAAATGAATTAGGTAATGTCTACAGAAGAGTTTTGCAAAGTTGCAAGGAACATATGGAATTTATTAAAACTGCCAAACCCTTGGAAATAAAGCTAGGAGCAATGTGAAATGTCTAAACTAAAAAAAGATGTAGGTATTTGGGCAAAGAATATGATGCATCTCTTCAGGGATTAGGAGATCAACAGAAGAGCATCAATCTTTCAAAGTATTTCTCTTCTCTAAGGTTTTGTTACGATACTCTGTCCTGTTATGAATCTACATCATGGTTTCCAAATTCTCTGACTTGAATTCTTGTACTTGGTACTTGGGTTTTTCTTAATGAATATGTGGATAGAAAGTTTATTTCCTATTATGTTGTCTATGTCGTCTATTACAGTCTGTGATGGCCCAAAGTTGAATAAATCACAACTCCCAGTAACATTTTAAACACCCTTTGCAAAATGTGTATATATGCAAATATATAACTGAGGCCCAACAGAGAAAAAGATAAGTCATAATGATGTCTATGTCACAGCTTGTTTCTTATTTCTCCAATCCTCACTTCTCTTTCCTGTTCCTTGTTCTGTCTGCACTTCAAAAACATCCTGGTTTTGCATGCTATTACCATATCTAATATTCAATAACATATAATGTGGCATATAAAAAGCAGGCATCACAGTCAGGAAGGGATGGGTCCAAGTTCCACTGCTGGCTGGAAAGGCAGGAGGGAATAAGCATTTATATTGGCACCTATCATGTGCCATGAACTGTCCTAAGTCCTCTACCAATATCGTCTCACTTCATCCTCACAACATCAGCTGGGAGGTGGGTACTTTTATCATTCCCACTGTACAGATGAGGAAACTGAGGCAACTTGACCAACATCACACAGTTGGTGAATTTCTGAGGCCGGATTTCAACTCAGGTCTTCCTAACTCCAGAACCAGTGCTCTCTCCACTGTGCTACCTAGTGGCCTTTATATATACCAACTTTTTGATCATGAACAAATTTCTTAACCAACCAGCTCTCTAAAAACTCTCTAAGACTGTCAATTTCAGAGCAAAGGCTGCTCTGCACAAAGAGAAGGAGTTCCTCATCCCTGATATGGATGAAATCAGAGATCAGGAATTGAAATGCTTTCATGTATTCAATAGCACACAGCAATATTGACAGAAAAGTGAGATGAGTGATGAATTCAGTCTACTTCACATCCCCACATAGTGTTAAGGATTGTTGGGAGCCAGAAATTAAATTATTCAAAATTCATTTGAATCAGAATTGAAAATGGAGACAGTAACAGCTTCTATTTGAGATGCCTCTTAACTGACAATTTCCGTTTCAGGACAACACTATGACTGAAGTGGCATTGGCTGTGAAAGTTTTCACAGCTGTAAACAACTATAATGCTTTGAAACAACCATACCCCAAAAGTGTAAAAGAGCTGTTAAATGAAGCAAATAAAACTCTATACTCAATGGTGAATATTCTACATCATGTTTCCAGCAAAGAGAATGAAGGAAGATGTCAGAACCAGTCGGTGGTCAAGACTTCTTTGGAGTACAGATATTTTTAGACCAGAAGACTGTGTGGGAGCATTCATATCTTCTCAAATCCTACTTTCTTTCTAGTCCCAGAAACCACAAACCCTCTACTCTTTTTGGTTGACACTGTGGTGGGGAGGGAAGGGGTTGAGAGAATGCTGAAATACAGCTACCTCATTAAAAAGCTTAGTACATCTTATTGACTTATTATGAATTATAAACTTCTGAAAAAGATTCAAAATATCCTGTGTCAAAAGAGTTATAAGATTTTTGTGCTATAATGTTTCTATATTATCGATATTTTAAATAATTCATTAGAATAGAAAACATAGCAGAGTCACCCTTCCTGGTAATTTGTGGAGTTCCGATAGCACCAATCATGCTCTGTCCTGTATACTACATCTGCTTTATTTACATACCTGTATAGAAATTTTATGTAACTCCTCCACTAAATTATAGATGGTTGCCCCTCTAATACCAGCTGTGTGACCACGGGCAAGTAAACTTAACCTCTATGAGACTCAGGCAACTGTCTAAAGTTTATCTCTTCAAATTATACATGAGTTTTTATTTAGATTAGTACAAAGAAATACCACACTGATATTCATGAATCCATAACTAGCCTATTATAAGCCCCTTGAGGAAAAGAATCATGGCTTGTTCATCTTTGTCCATCCCTGTCATGGTATTCATGGGAAAACTTTCTCAATTAAATACAAATAATCTAATTAGCTAAATATGAGAAAATCACAAAATGGAAATTAAATGTCAGAGTGTACTGGACAAATAAGTTATTATCAGAGTTTTGCACCAAGAGGCTTCAATATTGTAAAACAAGGTGCTATGAATGCAGGATCAGCCTTTTTTTGTCTTAACTGAAGAAACAAATTAAATAATCTCTTTGAAAAGTAGAATCAAGAACTTTTTTTCTAAATGATTATTAATTTGAGCATGTTTAAGCATGTCTTAGAAATGAATTATCTAAATTAAACAATTCCTTTTTATTACTCTTACATTTATAATAAATGGATGAATAAGGTTCTAAGCCAATTTAATACAAATGTATTCAAAGCACTTGGCCAGGTTCTATGCGGGACACAGAAATGGACAAGGTGTGTTCTGGGTTATCAAGGAACTTATAGCCTAGCAGGGGATTAAAATAAGACATCTGTACCAATAACTACGTAGGATCTAATAATATTCATAGGTGGGAGCAATGTTCACAAAGAACATGGGAGCACAAGAAGTAGTCACTTCTTTCATTTGGGGAAACCTTAGAGGTAGTAATATTTTAATGGGGCTTTGAATTATGAGTAGGATTTTGATGATGCATTTAGGGACCACTTTAGCCTTCTGCTAATTGCCTGCTGACGCAATTAAGAAATTCAAGACAACCCAATATACAAAGGGCTCTGAAAAAAAAGAGCTTTGAATAAATATCTGGTGGGTTATTGCCTCTCAAGTATTTTTTAGGCTCAGGAGAATTAAGAATTAAATTAGAAATTCAGGTCATGAACAGATTATGACATCTTTGTTTTTGGTTTTGTTATGAGCTAACGGCCACCCATATGGAGGGATGAGATCTCGGTTCTGGAAATATTTCCAGAGTCCAGCCAAACTCATGAAGGGCAGGTTCCTACTTTTTGAGAAAAAGCCCAAAGTTAGCCATGGGAACAAGTTAAATTGTCTGTCCTCTTTGACACCTGTTAATCACTTATGATGTTCAAAGATCTCAAAGCACGGACCTTCAAGTAGAGGAAAGAGAGAATCCCTGCCATGCATTCCTTGAGAAGTAAGAAAAATTGACTAACATAAGAGAGAGATGGGATGGCTCCTGCATACATCTTTGCATTCCTTGCCTGATAATTACATTGCAAACAGACCCGGAGGTTGGCAGCACACTCTCTCTCTCTGTCACCCCATTTTTGGTCCTCTGAGGCCTCAGTCAACTACAGAGAATAAATCTTGTTTGAATCCCTAGGTTTTGTGTGTGGGCTCACTTTTTTTTTTCCTTCCCTACTTGAATTATGATTTACCACACAATCACTCACTGGGAGAGGCATTTGCCACCAAATGTAGTAATAACATGAGTAGGAGATCTTGATAAGATCTTTTCATATTGAGGAAAAAATCCTAGGAATGTGAAGAAATAACCCTAATTCAGATGGGAATGCAGTGAAATGGCAGAGATAATTGGGAGAGAATATTCCAGGCATGAGGTGTGCACAAAGACAGGAGAAACTGATGCAAAATGGAAGAATAGCGAGCAGCAGAATTTTGCTATAGTATAGATGGCGTCAAGATCATGGAAGGGGAAAAGGAACAAGCACCTATCCAGTGCTACTACGTGCCAAGAACCATGTGCGTGCACTTTGCAAACACGATCTCCTTTGATAACTCTCGTTTGATAAGCAATCGATAAACTAATTATTCTCCAATGGATCTGTGATAGCATCCCTCCTGTGATGCCAATTGTCTCCTAAAATCTGCTGCAACTTTATTAGCTTAATTGGAAATCTTGCATATTAAACAATTAATTATTTCCCCAAAACTTAGGTACTTAGAGATGACTGTACATGAAATCAAAACTCCATTTAGTTTGCTTTAAAATGCAAATATTAACACGAATATAACAAAATGATCTTTCTCTTCTGAACACATTCTGAACATCTATGTATATTTTTCAAATTTTTTCTGTGATAATTAAAAATGTTAAAATGTACTACCTTTCAGTTTCTATATTCCTCCCCAGCAATTCATTTATCTTTGCCTTTTAATATTCTTCATTATTGTCATTTCTGAGGTCGCAATAATATCTCTCTCAGCCTCCATAAAACAGAATTTTTTTCAGTCGTTCCCAAGTTCGATAGGTTAGTTGCTCTGAGTATCTTGATATTATTAATAATGCTACATAATACTGGTATCAATAAAACTATAAATATTTTCATACAGATGACTTCTTTTTTCACTTTAATAATATCCTTAAGTTCTAATCCTAGGACAGTGGGATGACTGAATCAAAGGGTACAAAGAACATTGAGGTGGTTCTTGTATACGCCATATTGCCTTTTTTTTTTTGGCTAGACAATGGGGTTAAGTCACTTGCCCAGGGTCACACAGTTAGTTAAGTGTTATGTGTCTGAGACCAGATTTGAACTCAGG